GGGTCAGGGGCTTTCAGGGTGGGTGAGGACCCCGGGGGCGGTACTAAGGGACTGGGTCCCGATGAGCACCCCCCACCCTCCCTGCATTCCCGCCTGCTAGGGCGATAGTACCGTCATCGTCTCTCTCTGCTCGTTCAGGGCGCCAACACTGATACATGTGTTGATGTGGCTGCATGCATCCCTGTGGACGAAAGGCGCTGCGTGCGCTCACAGGCTCAAATTGATAGCATGTTGAGAGTGATTCACAATTTGGCAGCTTTGATTGATGTTGAGTGCCGGAGTATTGTACTTCAATGAATATCGGACAGTATTGGCCTAGCAATTCTCATTTCCTGTGGCTGGTGGCTGCTGATGGAACCTGAGGGCGGCTCCCGTAGTTCGAACGCGCTAGACAGAAGGTGTACGCATTGTAATTACAGCAACAGGCCTAGGCGTGCGGTCAAGGCGAGTAGGTGAGGTTGATACGATGCTGGGCCTCGCAACCGTGTAAGCTTGACTGGGCACGGCGCAGCCAGTGTGGCAGCCCTATGTGCCCCAGGCTTACGGCACAAGCTCAAGAGTCAGACTTGCTCCGGTCATCAAGGCATTCTTTCCAGCATTTTTTTGCAATTTGATAGATTCGCCTGGGCTGACATTCTCTAGTCGGCCATCGTCGCCCTCCGGAGCTCTTGAAGGTATAGTCTTGAGTGATGAGGTTTATTGCACGCTTAGTTCGAGCTTGAATGTAGATCAAGTGTTATCTGGTGAACCTGGGGAGGGGCAGATGTTCGTTGAAACGCTTGGCATCAGCAACCTTGCAGAACAGTACCCTCAGTGCGCAAGGCGAAGTTGTCATGCAGACAGAGCTCTTTGGGTCGTTTTTAGCCGGCGCAACGTCGGGCCCTTTGCACTTTGAGGCTCGCGCAGCTGAGGTAGCAATCATGGTTCCAAGCAGTTATGCTACGTGTAGGTACAGGAGGATACTACGTTGTCGTGTTGCTTTACTGCTACTGGGTGGAATTGTTCGTCGCCATCTCTCCGAGGTGATTGGTTTGTAGGGGTTTATTTGGGACCTCTCCAGCGTGTTTAGATAGCGAGAGGACGCAGGTTTGTAGTTGCTTGTTGAGCAGCAGGCTTGCACACCATGCATGAAGAAGTCCTCATGTAGCTGGCCACCTCTTCCGAAGTGCGATAGCGGTAGACAGTGCTTCCACCTGAATATGTGTCATCAGAGACAGCAACATGTTCTTTGCCAGTTTCATCGTTTCGAGCGCGCCAGTGGTGAAGGATGTGAAGTACATGACCTGTCCCTTCCTCCCACGTCCTGTGTGATAGCCAAGAATACAATGATGCAAGTAAGATTGCAGCAGCATTGGTGACAGTCTGACTGTTCTGTGGCCACTCTGGCACAGTTGCGACACCAGGTACCGTTGCTACATGTAGATCCGCCGTGCAAGCTGCAGATGAGACCAGGCTTTCAGAGGAACTCAGAGGGCACTCGCAGTTCGCAACATGGCAGAGGTTTCGCTTTCCGAGTCTGCACTTCGCCCATGAGAACTTCGACAATAGACGGCTGCAGAACGGTTTGTATCTAGCCTTCCGACTGAGGGAAACGAGCATTTGCTAACCATCCGCGAACAACTTTGTTGAGCCCGCATGCTGCAGCAGTACAGAGCGCCTTGTTACTATTCCATAGGATAGTCGTGTTTTCATGATCGCGATTGCACAGTTTGCAGGTTTTGCCCGAGCGGAGTGGTTGCTTGCTTTCGTTAATTCTGACGCAGCACAGTGTGTCTGCTCATCACCTGGTCGCGTGATTGCCAAATGGCCCTCACAAGGAACCATCAGGAATGACAGGGGCTCAGTTAGTTTTGCACTCCAGTATCTGGAACATCGCCCCGGATTAACAGGGTTTAATTGTCCCATGCAGTCGACATCTGTCAGTCTTGCGGACCCTGGTTCCTTGCAACATCTGCTGCATTGAGTGTGCGCGCGAGGAGTCGTATCAATAGGGGAGACTGGATGTCGCAGTCCCCCCTATGCCGCTTGTCAGCAGAGGAAAAGCGCTACACAAGACGCATGACATGAGGACCTCGCCACGTACAGCATCTTACGGTCAGTTCGACAGAAGAGATACAACCTCGAAATTAGATTGCCAGATGCTCAGCAACAACCAGTCAGTCGAACATCCACGATTTATCTTGTGTGTGCATTGCGGAAAGACGATCAAGTCGTCAGCGGGAGACGACGGCACGGCTGGACTGGACACGGGTAGGACTGACCCCAAATCATGGTGATGCGACTGCAAATAGACTCTCGCCGTGGATACAGTGACTATGAAGATGCTTGTGTTGCGAGATTGGGGCACGGTTCTCCGCTTGCTCCGACACTACCACAGGTAGAAGCGCTGGTGCTCCCTGTTTTGTATCCAACTGGGTCGTAGCAATGGGGCTCCCCTTTACAATCACTTCCCCCCTCCCCCGGGTCGTAGCATTGGTGCTCCCCTTCCCCACTCCCGGGTCGCAGCAATGGTGCTCCCCGCTCAACGACTGCCAGATCATCCATGAGAAGTTGGACTCTCGCAACAAGTCCACACGCAGGTTGTAGCGATGGGGCTCCCTGATTCGAGACATATTATGTATTCAAAGGGTACAGCCGAAGCAACCTCTGAACTTTGGGGAGGCCTCCTATCCTGATCCGGCACACCGCCGGTATCCACCGTTGCTGCCCTCGTGGTTGTGCTTCAGGTTGCTATGGAGGGGGCAGAGGGTCCTTCTGACTCTTTTGTTCTCATGTAGACTGGTTGCAGTTTTTTTTTTTTCCGCGTGGTGAACGCTTCACATTCTTGTCACTACTGCGTCGCCTGTAGTTACTGTAGGTTACTCACCCGGCCCATTGCTGAGACCGCCTGAATCGCTTTGAGTGGGGCAGACATTTTACACAGCAAGGCTCTCTTTTACAGGACTCCCGCCGCTGACCTCCTCGCACTTGCCATGGACCCTGCTCTACGTGGAGACGCCATCCGAGCTCTTCGGCTAGGACTCACCTTCGCTGAACAGAGTCTGCAATACTTGGTGCCGGCACCGTCTGCGCAGTCTCGGCCCCCAATCCCGCGCCGTCCCCATAACGGCATGTTGGATTCTCGAGTGACCCGCTCCCGCTCCCCACAAGCCAATCGAGCAGAAGTGGTACTCAACCGTGGGCGGATGCGGCAGCGGCCAACCCACCGCCGTCGCTCCCCCTCCCCGCTTCGTCGCGCCTCCCCCAAGCGGCGTGGTGCAAGAGGACGCCCGCAACCCCCAACCAGGCACCCAGCTCGCATCGTATCCCATAATGCTCGCCCTCCCACGGCACACAGCCACGGGGGACCAGGTACCCTTGCAGGGTCACAGGCTCGTGTGCCTAGCCATCCGAGGTGCTCGCAGACCGAGCAAACCAGGTCAGGCAACCCGACCAGTGGTCCTAACCCACCAATTGGGCTTTGCATCCGTGGCGCCCGAGGAGCCACATCTGCCACAGGTGGGCAAGCAGTCCACGCAGCAATGGCCCTTCTCTCCCCGACTTTTGCCTGCCTCCAGCCGGTATTTCATGTCACGCAAGTAGGGGAAGGTTCATCTTCGTATGTACTTGTGGGACACCACGCTTTCCAGGACATCGCGACGTTGGTTAGCATTCTACGGGAGCTCCAGGCTGGTAACGGCGGACGGATGGCCACCGCTATCGGGGACATCCATGTGGAGGCCGCGGACACGGATATCGGACATGAGGCAGCCAGACGGCTGGCTGTGGTGAGTGAGTCTGGCGACACTCCCGAGGACCCTAACATGGTTGAGCCGCATGCATGTCTAAGGCCTGCAGCGGATGGCAACACGGAGCCTGCCCAGCGCACATCCGACCCAACCACCAGCAACATGGCTGAACAACATGCCGATATGCCTGATTCGAGCGACACAGTGAGAGCCCCGGTCGCGGCTGAAGCTCCCATAGTTCCGGCTGCCGCGTTCAACGCTGAGTCGGGGAGTGGCCCCACCCCCCCGCCCGAGGCGGTGCCTCCGCCTTCCCACTCACCTGAACATGTTGGTTATCCGCCGTCTTCGTTGCCCTTGAGTCGTGAGGAGCCCGTCCCTCATCCCGTCCTGCCCTCATCAGGTCATGCCCCGCACCCTGCCCCGGCTGACGCTGTTGATGGCGCCCCGCCCCGTCACTCCCTGCCCTCTTCTGCCAGCCCCGCCTCTCCCGGATCGGCGGGTATCGCTCCTATGACCCCTCCAGTGGACTGCGAGCTTACACCCCAACTCAGGGGTGTGGAGTATGTGCTGGGCCCCAACTGCCTTCTGCCAGTCACCAGTTGCACTAGCTGTTTGCAGCCTTTCGAGGCGGGCGAGACGCTCGTCCGGTTGGTTTGCATGCACTACTTTCACAAGGAGTGTGTTACGAGATGGTTCTCCTCTCCCATCCATGGCCACCGCTGCCCGAGCTGCAACGTCAATCTGATCGGTTTGGACGGCTGATTGGCGCTCCCCTTCCTCTTCAAGTGGATTGGATGGACACCCACGCATACCGTCACTCAAAGTGTTGGGACTGCTGGCAATTTTGATTTTGGTTTATGTCTGAGCAACCTGCGTAACCTGAGGGTCGGAAAAGTTGCTGTGTCCTTGAGTGATAGAGACTGGTGACTCAGCAGATGCTCCTCACATGGTATTTTTCAGTGCACCTTCCAGCATCTTGCGCCCTTGCACTCTGCAGCTCACTCATCTCTAGCCGCGACACTGTGTTCGCACTGTAGCTCCGAGCCGGATTTACTTATGTTCGGGAAAATGTCGGAAATGCCGTCAACTCAGAAGCACTCGGAGGTTTATCTTGTCTCGTAAGGACAGCATCTGCTTCCCCCCCGTCCCGGCCCGCTTCTCCCTCGGTACTTGCACGGATGTAGGCCTTCTTTCCCGCGGCGCTTGTTCGGAATCCTATAGTGCTCGTACTTCTACATGCTGCGCTGTATTCTAGGGTAGCTTTTGCAGCGGATGGAGCCACCTCTCCTCGACAACGGCGATGACAGCGGGTCCGACGATGAGGACCCCATCCTCCCGGCTGACCGGGCGGCGGTGCCCGTCGGACGGAGGCGTAACCTACGATTTATCGGAAAGTGCCTAGGCCACGATGTTAGCTGGCGTGGCACTCAGGTAATCCGGGTTGTCTCGCTCCAAGCGGGCGGCGTGGGTGGAACAGATCGCGAGGCCTGGGGCAAATGGTGGGCAGATTGCGCCGCGGAACTGGGAGCGGACATTTTTGTGTTGGCCGAAACACGAATCGGTACCGCAAGAGGGCACGTGCTGGCTGTGTCCGGTATGGAAAAGGGGGGATACCTTGGGATTAGTCACAATGTGGACCCTACAACTCCTACCTCACTGCAGGCCCCTTCGCCGATGTCGTCTGGAATCATCATTGCAGTTCGTAAGGACTACATAGGAAACTGGCAACAAGTCACCAGGGACTCAAATGGACGCGCACTTGCCGGCACACTCCTCAAGGACGATGGAGCGGCCATCCGCGTGGTGGGGGTATATGGCCCGACAGGTGCCACCTCCGACTCCTTCGACCAGGACGCCAGAGCACTCTCGCAGGAACGGAATCTGGTCGAGTTTGTCTCCCATCAACGAACACAAGCGCTACTCACTGACGCTTCCCTGCTGGTGGTAGGCGACACTAACAGCTACACCTCCCCTGAGTTGGACTGCTGGGGGGGTCGAGCTGCTGTTAGACCCACATGTCTAGCTGTTCTGGGAATTGACAGACACGCAACGTGAGATGGCACTTATTGCACCAAGCAACAAAAAGGCTATCCAGATTAACCTCCCAAAAAGCTCGGGTGGATTTCGGCCGCTCAGCATGATGGAAGAGGCCTTCAAACTCATCGAAGGTCCCGTCACGCAGCGAATGGCCACTTCCAGAAGCCTTTTGGAGCTTGGAGCGGTTTACAGCAAAACTAACCTTGCCTATGAGAAGAAACACGCCGCCACCACGGAAGTGCTATACACTGATTGCATCTTGTGCGAGATCGCGGTCCGAACGGGTGCACCGTTCGCCCGAGTCCCATCTGACTACGAGAAGTACTTCAACTCCATCTTGTACGAGGAAGTAGACGCCATACAACTGGCCCGAGGCATTCCAGACATGGTGCGCCGCTTGTACACCGACGCCTTCCAAGGGATCACCGTAGCCATAGACACTCGCTGGGGACTCACGCGCGACGTGGACTATCAACGGGGGGTACCGCAGGGAACAATATCCTCGCCGGAGCTGTCCAAACCTGCCCAAGAGCCTATTCTGCGCATGCGGGAGCTGAGCCCGGCCAGATTTGTCACGGACCACGGAATTGGCGTGGCTGTCACTGCATATGCGGACGATGCCGAACATTATGCAGGAGGGATCCGACAACTGCCGCAACTGCTGCAAGAACTGGGTAAGGGTAGCGTGCTTGCTGCTGTAGGTTACGCTTGGCCAAAATTTTCGGCTTATGCGTCCGATTGGAACTCGGTGCTTGGTACAGAATGGGCAGCAAACCACGGTATCACGCAGGATGGCATTCGTGCCACAGGCTACGACATTTGGACGGGCGGCACGGTCACCACCGTTCTCCCTCGCTCCCACGCCGACTCTATGGAAAAGCTTTTAGGCAAGCGAGGTACCATCATCAACAAACACGACACTGCGGCACAGGACCTTCTCGACAAACTCAGTCAGCTGCGGCAAAGGATGGCCTTCCGGAACTGCGACTGGGACGAGATTGCTGCGGCCTTCCAGCTCATTGGCCGGGGCTATATCTCCTATGCACCCTTGGTAGGCATCCCTTCTCCGACAAGCTTACACTTACAAGATGCTGATTTGCAGCTCCTCATCCTTAAGCGCCTTCAGGTCCGATGTTCGGTGGAAAGAGTCAGCCTCCTGGCACCCCGGGAAATAGGAGGTGTACAGTTGCCATCCATGGTCGAGGCCATGGTGGCAGCAGTCGGTTCAGATTTGCTTCTGCTTCTAAATGGCAAGACGACTTCCTCGGGTCTCGCCAGAGCCGAACTGCGTATGGCCATGCAACTGGATCCCGACGCAGCTTCCGCACATCAGGGTATCGTTTGTAGAGCAATGGTTTTTCTCGCAGGTTATGGCATCTATCTGTCGGTGTCCACTGAACGCCTCCTCTCCCGCCTCTTAGATCACCTCAAAACACGCCTAGGCTCACCACATGCCCAGTTTGTTGGTCCAGCAGATGAGTGGGCCCACCAACAAGGGGCTCAATATTGCCGCGTTGGCCGATTCGCCAACTCACTTCGTCGGGCTCTGGATTCTCTCCGACATGCCGTGGACACACGAGACTGGGGATTCGAACATGTTTGGCAGCAACATCTGGAGCACTCTTCTGGACTTTCGCCCTCGGATTGCGCGGCGGCCATGCGTGCCGCCACCACTGCCTCCAGCTCGGACTGGAAGGTAGAGTGTGGCCTATTCCACAGACCATTTCCAAATGCGGAATCAAGCGAGGACTGGGCCACGGATGCATGGGATAACCCTTGGGCTAATAAGGTGGACTCGCGTAGTGATTACTTGGACTCACGGGTGGAAGTTCCCTTCCATGGGCTGGATTTCGGTATGTACAGTGATGGTGGGATGCTCCACGCAGGCAATTGTACATTCAGCAGTCAAGCTCGTTCCTTTGGTGGTGTGGGGGACTACTGGGAATCCAGTCACGCCTGCACGGAGCGCCTTATCAGTCGTCTGCCCCTCAGGCTAGGATACGAAGCTGTTGGAGTACACGAGGCTGAAATGGCCGCTATGATTGCCGCACTCCGCTGGAGACGACCTGAGGGTTGGAATCTTTTGGTTGTAGACCGCAGCTCACTCTGTTACATACTTCAACAAGTCAAGCTTCAGCGCCCCTCTGCACTCCTCGGCCTCGCGAGTCATTTTCTGGTAGGCCGGTTGCAACGCATTCTGGCGGACCTGCGCTGCTCATGGCGGGATCCCACATTGAAACCGTCCTGGAGACTCCAGCAGGAAGCCCTTCCCGCGATCTGGAATTGCAAACAGCAAAACAAGTGGATGTGCAACACCACTCATTGTACTGCTGGTCTGGTGGCTGTGGACATCAAATCGCATCAAGAACAAAGCGACATCCCACACCCTGTTATCACCCGTGGCAATGCACAGCAAGATGAAGGCTGCGGACTCGGACGTAACCAGATGCGCCCACCCGATGTGAGGTATCCTACTGGGGGGTTCTTTGCTTTTCTTGTCATGGACGGCCGAGCCATTGGAAATCCCATTCGCAAGGTAGTCCGCAAACAACTCCGTATTCAAGCATCGGCCCAGTGGGCACAGCGCAGGGTACAAGGCCATGTTGCAACACAGGCGCAGGACATCTTCGGCCCTACACTTGACATGAGACTGTTCACACAGGTACCGGTACCAACACCCTGGAAACATTGGCTATTACCTACTGACCCAGACGATGGCGTGGACCTGTCCAAATTCCTCTACCGATGTGTGCGTGTAGTGGGAGGCTCCTGGACCGAAAGCCTCAAATCAGACACTGACTTAGCCCGGTTGGCATCGCATTGGGCAGAAGCCAATCAGCTTGACTCCATGCGGACATGCCCGTTGTGCTGTTCAGGTGCCGGCACCCCTCGCCACACGGTTATGACCTGTTCTGGGATGCGCCATCTGTCCAACCTGTTGCGCAAGGACATGGAAACTTTATTGGGACAACTAGTTGAGCGCGAGCAGCTTTTGCAGAGAGCCACGGTTTGGAGGCAGGAATGCCGACAGCAGGGACGAGCTCACCTCATCCCGCATCCCTCAGCTCAGGATGCTCGTGAATGGCCTGTACTCGCTTCTTGGAGATGGTTGGTAACGCTTCCGGGCCGTGAGGCCCTGCTGAGCCAAGATGTTGGTGGTCATAGTGCGACAGCGGTGGCGCATGAACGCGGGTGGGATATGGGTCACCGGGCAATTCTCCCATCTGTATTGGGCCGGACCCTATGCCGCCTCCCACCACCTCGCACGGAACGTGAGCCACCAGAGGATTTGGAAGAATACGCTGTGTGGCGACACACGGAACAGACAACACGGGAGGCAGAGCAGCTTCAACATCGGCACGCCCGCATCCGACCTGCTGTGGAGTGTGTCTCCCTCCTCCTGCTGGGTTTGCGGCGAATTCGGGTGGAATACGCTCGCCGCATTAACGCCTGGAAACAAATGCAGCTGATCATGGAGCAGGCGCGTATCCCGGATGTAGCGCCTCTCGGCCAGGTCCCAGCTGCAGGTGATGACAGGCCGCCTTCTGTTCTGGACGCATGGTTCGCCACACCGCGCGGCCTCACCACGGCCCGCGAACTGCGTTGGTTGGCCCCTGGTTTATCTGTACTCATCGCTCGCATCAGAGCCGAAGTACCCGCATGCCGCCTCTCCCCCCACAGTATCAGGGTTTGTGCCACCTCCCACCTTATCCCGATTACACAGCACGGCCTGCTAAATTGGTCGCATGAATGGCCTTCCTTTGAAGATATGCAACTTGCTTTACGCACCCCATGTACCTGTCGCCCGGCTCCGCCACATTCCATTTCTTGCTGCTGGACGTGCGGAGGAGTCCAACTCCCCCCCGCCGGCCCACTCCGTTCTTGCCCTTACTGCCGATGCAGCCGTGGTGGAACACAGTGTCGCAACTGCGGCTGCACCGTGCACCTTGTGGGACAGTGCGCTTGGAACCGCGGGGCCAACCGATGTTACCATGCGGGTGCACTGGATGCGATTTCCCTTTGTCCTGATTGTTGGGGAGTTTGGCGCACGGCCCTCCAAACGATGCCGCGGCGCCCGGCCAGATTGCCTGTGCCACCAGGCAATCTCCTGACTCACTTGACGCAGTTGAGCCTACAGCGACATGCGGGAGCTGGTACAGACACGTTTTGTGCAAGGACGGGCGATCGGCAGAGAGTCAGGCGCTGGTGCCAGCGTGCACTCCCCAGGAACTGGACCGCCTTCCCCGTACTCCTTTCTCGTGCGGAGCGGGCTCTCGCTGAAGTGGACAACGTAGCAGAACTTTTGCAGGATGGACTTCGTCACTGGACTCGACGGGGGGAAGCAGATACCCAAGTCGCATTAGGAGTACTTCACTTCAGACGGCGCCCCACCGCATGATCAACACTGCAGTGCACTACTGTCAGGACCTGGCCTGCAACTCAGACGACGACCCGCTTTATGCCCTACTGCACTGCTGTTTCGACGACGAACGGCGACATGGGCTGATGACCTCGTGACGGTTCGACATCGGTAGAGAGTGACGCAGCACAAATTGTCCGTCGGCTCGACACGACGGGATGTGACACTACACAGACCTTGGCAATCCAGTCGACGACATGACATGCGCTGCTTTAACAAAACTGCGGCTCCTTACGCATGAGCTTTCTTGTTTGCACAGCTGGAGGAGCAGTTGTATTAGGGTTCTCTCCGGCACTTGAGCGACCAAGCTATGGAAATGATGCCACACGCAACAACTGGCCCGCCCGCTTCCCGCAGCCCTTTTATATCGCTGGATGTAGGCGTGCACTTGCGGCGGAACCGTCACTGCTAGATACTTTCTTATTGCGCTTGGTGGCTCCATGTAGACGCCGAGTGGTTTCTTATTTCTAATTGGGGCTTGCTACAAAGCAATCCCTCTCATGAGAGCCGCGGCATGGTGGCTTGGAACGCGGTCTTAATGGCTGTTGGCGAGGCCTCTGACTGGTCAGGCAGACGCTAACGTAGAAACGCACTTCAGGGGGTTGCCGCCTGGCTGTGCTCAAACTACTAGCAGCGTGCAGTCCTGATGTCTTCAGTCGATTGTCGGAGTCCGGCTGCCAGCGTTAGCCACATGTGAGGCTACACTAGCCGACTTACTATACGAGCATGCGCGTTCTGAAACCAGTTGCAGGCTGCCGACCTGTTCATCGTTGATGGCTATATGCTGAGTGGCACTGCCATCGCTGCCTTTCTCCTCGGGGCTGGGTTAGTTCGTGGTTCTTAGGCCTTCTCCGCTCTGCTTTAATTTAAGCGCGAGGCTACGCTGGGCGGAAGTCCGGTCGTCCTGCACCCATATACACTTCTTTCATGTTTCATGCATTTGAGACCTGTGCAGCGGCTGTGGCAACACTCACTTCTACAAGCTACCGAGGAGCAGGGTTCAAAGGGCAGCGAGGTATCGACGTTTGTCTGCGTTCGAGAATTTCCAGGTTACTGAAATGCGAAGCTTCGTCATTTCGCAAGGTTTTTCTGTGCTACTCACCGTGTTGGGCAATGCTTTTTCCTTGTTTCGTTGGGTACTGCAGCTCACTGTTACGGTGCTTCGGGGCTTTGAACTAGGCAGGGATGGATTACATCGTAACGCCCTGTGAAGGGGGCGACACAACAGAGTTTCCGCCTTCAGACATGCGACACGCAGTCACAGGCACCGGATGACTCTATCAGAGGCATCGGATTTTGTCCGCCATCCGAGTGGGAATCTCGGTGCACCCAGCCTGGAGCGCCGCTGCACTACGATAGGGAAAATGTCCGCACCGTGGGCTGAGGATGTCCTGCTTTACATATCATCAAGCCACGGCTTTCGAATCACATATTGCTGATTGCACACTCCCATCGTCTTCCTGCTGCTGCCGCTGCTGCATTTGCTCTGCTTCGCATGGGGCCATGACGCTTGCGGAGCCCCATGCCCCGTTTGCGTCTTAACCCCTCGGGGCGGAGACAACGCGGGTGCCCGTCTCCTTGCCAGGAGTCGATTTCTCTCTCTCTCTCTCTCTCTCTCTCTCTCTCTCTCCCCCCCCCAGCCTATGGCATTGCTGGATGCAGCGGAATATGGTGCCTTGGTCGGCCATTCCCCGCTGGAGCTCAAGAAATCCTCCAAGCCGATCAAGCCTCTATCGATTCCCTTTCATGGGCCTGGAGCCAGCTCTGTCAATTACTATCCTGTGGACCTCGGCGGGCTCCCAGTGGATGTTCAAAACTCGTGCCGAAAGCTAGAGATCTTCTGGAGCTCGGAGACTGTGCACGATGAAACGTTTCTGAGCCAGCTACAACAGCTCACCCAAAGCCAGCCTCAGCACGTCTTTGCTCACATAGCTTCGACCGCCTTTAGTGCCCGTGGTGAGAAAGCACGGCCCACTGCACAGCGACCGCACACCCTTGCAGAGTTGAAGGCAACGCACCAAGAGGTGCAAAGCCAGCTCAGCCAACGAGCTGTGGCTTCAGCGGCTGCTGCCGCTGCCACTCCAGCAGCAGCAGAGGCTGAGCTGAGGATGATGAGACGGCCACCCCTGCTCCGCCGCAGAGGAGGCGATTCGGCATCAGCAGAGCTGTACCAATCCCGAAGTCGAAAGCAAAGGCGAAAGCCAAGGCGAAGGTGCAAGCTACGCCGCAGCAAACACCGCCTCCAGCAGAGAGCCTCCCCAACACCGCCACTCCGGTGACTCCGGTTCTGGCATCAACAAGCAGGTTGAGGAATCAGTTCAAAGGGAAGGAGGGTGATGACGAGATCTTCAGCCAAAGCACAGCCAATGCCAAGGATGCTTTCTTGGACAAGCTTGATCCTGAGATGAGGAAGGTTGCAATGAAGCATCGTGGAGCGAGTGTGAAGAGTTTGAAGGACCTGGTGCCTTACCAGTTTCTCTGCCACCCGTCGAAGACCCTCACCAACTCACTGAATGGAGTGCCAGGCTGAGTTTATGTTCAGGTTTAAGACGGATGCCCGATTGAAGTCATGCTGTGACAATCTTACATCACACAACCGATTCGTCCTATTGTAGCGTCACAAAGGTCAACGTTTTCCTTTTGAGGCTCGCAATATGTGTTCCTGGAGGTTGTGGTTTTGTTATGTTTGCTCTGCTTTGACAGCAGAAAGCTACAAGCCCCTGTGGCTGGCCGGACCTGTTATGTTTCAGTTGACTGCACTTCATTTTTCATGGAAGCTTCGCACCCTTGGCCTTGGCCAAATGACCTTTATCTTTGCTGCCTTTGCTGCATTGTCTCACAAAAGCTCGAAAGCCAGGGCTTTGAGATGTACTTTTTAGGCTTTCCATTGGTTGCAAGAATGGAGAGTTCGAAAGCCACAGCTTGCACATCTACTTTTTGAGCTTTCCATTGGTTGCAAGAATAGAGTTCGAAAGCCACAGCTTTGAGATGTACGTTTTGAGCTTTGGCTTCATTGCAAGAACAGAGAGTTCGAAAGCCACAGCTTTGAGATGTACCTTTTGCGTTTTCCATTGGTTGCAAGAATAGAGTTTGAAAGCCACAGCTTTGAGATGTGCGTTTTGAGCTTTGGCTGCGTTGCAAGAACAGACAGTTCGAAAGCCACAGCTTTGACATGTGTGTTTTGACCTTTCCGTCGGTTGCAAGCATGTGAGTAGGAGTAGGAATGCTCTGAGGCCAAGCGCATCGTGGATGGTTTGAGGACCAATAAAGAATCGGTGGCAGCGAATTCCCTGGAAGAGCGCATCGAGGAATGCGAACACTGCTTGGCTTTGAACTCGTCGAACCTCCTCAACCCAAGCCAGGTCACAGCACAGCAGCTCATGATCCACATCAATTGCACAAGGAGCCTGTGGGACAAGTACCCCTACCAGCTCCAGCTGAGCTTGGCTCAGCGATTCGCAACGGATGAGTTGAAACTTGCTGCCCAGACTTTCAAAGTAAAGGGGGATTGGACAGACCCTGCTGACAAGTTCTTGTCGTTCTACTTGTGGGACGATGCAGACGACGGGGAGCTGCCGGCCTTCCAAGCCGACTCCGCCAGCTTCAGCCAGACGCTGAAGTTCTTGCTTCGCGATGCAGATGATTTGCAAGAGGCCTTCATGATCGACGACTTCGATGAGGACCTGGACATGGACATGTCTCTCCCGGAGAAGTCCGAGAAGCAGATGGACGAGGCGGCAGACGAGGAGAAGAAGACAGGCGAGGAGAAGAACAGAGGCGAGGCGAAGAACACGGGCGAGGCGAAGAACAGGGGCGAGGAGACAAGGGCCGTCATCCTGAAGTCGGCTGCCGAGGTCACAGTTCGGTGAGTTTGGTGTCCATTCCAATCCAGTGGTGTCTTGTGGGCTAGCGGCTAGCTACATGTATTTGCTATTGCTAAAGTTTGCTAAAGCTAGGCAGCTAGGAGCCAGGATCTTGCAGCTAGTATCCCTGCAGCTGGCCACTGTAGGCAAGGTGCATTCTGGATGTACAGCCTGCAAGAGATATTGCTTATTCGGATACCTGGCAGCTCCTCGTACCCTTAGAGTGTTCAGTCATTGTTGTACAATCCCATTGCATACACACATATATATGATCGCAAGAAGCAGATGCATACAAGGCTGAGACTAGCATCTCCAGTCGTCCTATCCAGGCGCTGGCCGATGCTATGAAAGAGGTGTTCCTCGACGATGCCTTTGTCGAGCAGATCCAGGGACTGCCGTCCACCAACGAGTTTGTGCTTTACGTCGCACGAGGGTTCTTGAAGTGCGCCACAGACCAAGCAGACATTCTCAAGACTTTGAGCGCCACACCGCTCTTCCAGGCAATCACTGATGCATGGGCCCAGGTCACGCGCATGATGAGGGCTCTGCTTCTTGGCTTGGGGAAAGCTGAGGATGCATCGGCGTCCGCAGCGGATGCCTTTTGGTATGCGCAGTATAGTGGATCGTCCTTTTTCGACCGAAGCGTGAAAGGTGTGCTGCAGAAATCTAGCTGGTGGCAGGCACAGCTTGCCGACATAGCTCGAGTTGCGGGCGCCAGGCCCCTTTTGCAGCCGAAGATCCTCCGGCTTGAAGAGCTTGTGGGCGTGGAGAGTGGCGAGAGCTTGTCGGGCAGCCAGTTGAAAGAGCTGGTGCACTTGCTGGAGGAAGTAAGGCCAGCTCTTCGACAAGGTGAAGTCGAAGAGCTTTTCAAGAAAGCAGAGAACGTGGCTCGAAGTGCTGCCACAGCCCTGCAAGCCACCACAGACTTGACCAACCTCTCTGCAGCGAAGGTCGAGAGCGTCGCCAAGCTTTTCCAGATGTTGGCGCATGTGCCGGGTGTGCCCTCGGCTGCCGAGGAGTTCCAAAAGTGGTCGACTAAGAGTTCCCAGCACCTGACGGTCAACAGCCTTCTGGAGTGCATGAAGGCAGCGACCCGTTCGGAGATTGACTTTGTGAATCTCCGGGAAAGCTTGGAGGCCTGTAGCACTCTCCAGCCCTCAAAGGCCACGATGATCCCCTACATTGTCTTTATCAGAATTGCCCTCCTCCACTTCGCTGACAAGGCTTGGCTTGGGCTAAGGCTTAGCTGGTGGTGTTGGGTTCAGGCTGGGAAGTTAGGCTGTTAGGTCTAGGTTAGAGGCCCTGGATTCTGTGCTCATGTTCCCGGCCATGTGAAGTGTGAGGGGTCATGTCATGAAGCAGTCAGGAGTCAGCCTTCAACAGTCTTCGTGCCATGGGTCATGTCGAACTGTATGTGTTCTGTTTCTTGGTTTCATTACGTATGTGGAAATTTGGTAGACCGCCTGATTTTGCAGCTTGCGTGAGCTTGCCACCCCATGGATAAACCCCAAACCCTAAACGAGCAGTTGAAAAGATGTGCCGAATGGCAGGTGCTCGCTTCGGAGAAGGCCTTGGCGGAGGTGAAGCCGATGGTGACGACTTGCCTTTCCATGGCTAAGAAGCTGGTGCCCCCCGACTTCAAGGAGCTGTCCCAACTCGTGAATGCTCACATCCAGGGAGTCCAGTATGCGGGCGTGTACCATTGGCGACTCCGGAAGTTTTCCGACATGGGTGCGGATGCGGCTGCCCGACTCGCGAAGGACCCGAAGATTCAGTTTCTCACAGTGCTTCAGGCATCCAAGGCCAAGTGTGCTGGCCATGCCACGAACTTGGCCGAGGCCCAGCAAACCTTCGAAACCAAGATCGCTGAGCAGGATTCTGATATCAGTGCCGACCCTGCAACCGCTGAGCTTCTGAGTTCCAAGAAAGCCATGGACGTGATCTTGGATGCATCGCAGGAGCCTGTCATCGAGTTTATGGACTGCATAAAGTACCAAAACAATGTGATGAAGGAACGTGTCAAGGAGCTCAGTGCTAAAGCGTGCGACACAGGCTGTGGGTACCAGGCCGGTGGTGCCAATTTCTGGCGTGCCGGGGTTGGTTTGGATGCGAATGTGGCAGAGCTTCAAGCCTTGACCTTGGGCGATGACTTCAAAGCCAAGATCAAGCTGACAGCGATCCGAACGGCAACCGATTCGGTTTTGCAGGCCGGTCTAATAAGTCTAATACCACTACTACTACTACTACTACTACTACTACTACTACTACTACTACTACTACTACTACTACTACTACTACTACTAGTAGTACTACTACTACTACTGCTGCTGCAATACTGATCAATGTCAATATGAATATGAATATGAATATGAATACTCTTAAGCCTTGCTCGTAATCATGCTTTTTCGATTGCTACTGCTACTGCTATTGCGACTGTCGCTGACTGCTACTGCTATTGTTACTGCTGCTGCTACTGCTACTGCGACTGCTACTGCTACTACTGCTGCTGCTGCTACTGCTACCGCCACCGCTACTGCTACTGCTACTGCTACTGCTACTGCTGCCACTGCTACAGCCACTGCTACTAAGCCGCTGCTGCTATTGTGCTATAGCTTCTGCTGCTGCTGCTGCTGCGACTGCTAGTGAGTTTATCCCAAAAATCCATCTTCACTCTTGTTGGCCATTGTAGGCAAGCACATGATACCTCAGACAGGATATTGACTGATTGTGTGTGCGCAACATACTCTTTCAGAGTTGAGCTTTCCAAACTGCCGCACCTGTTGTCGTTGTTTTGCACAGCAGCTCCTTAACTGCTGAGTCCGGCCTGTGTGTGAGGTTTTCGGTCGGGCAACATACCGGGTATATTGGGGAGCTTCGATGTGGGGCTGCAGAACAGGCTATGAGAGGAGACGTTTGCTTGGGTGCATACCTGGGAGAGAGTTGTGTCAACCTTGAGTGCATCAGTAGTGGAGACAGTACTCAGTAAGTCAGTATGCCGTCGTAGTTGTAGTAACAGCACAACCTCCTCTTTCATGCACCGTGCAGGTGCGCAAAGAGATCGATGATTTCTTGGGCAAGTTCGACTTGCCGAGTGACGACATTGCTGCCACACAGCAAGTCCTTGAAGAGAGCAGCGGGCTGGGCCGCTGGCAGTCAGGGTGCTTTACATCGAGTTGCTCATCCTTGCGGCTTTCACGAAACTTGAGGCCAATTCTAGCTCCCCGGATGCCAAGACTGATTTCAAGGGCCTGATTACTAAGCTTGCGATTTTCCTCAGCTCGAACGAGCTGAGCATTCGTCAGGCAGATGTGCATGCCGGACTTTGGGCAGCGGCAATGGAGATGTCCGGTTGAGGATAAGTCCCTTAGGCCCCGAAATCTTATACCTGAAGCCTGAAGCTTGCAGACCACAGTGACTAGAGGAACAGCTTCAACCCCAATAGTCGTTGGTTGTTAGTCGCTCCAGTACAGGCCACTGCCTCCGGCTTGGAGGTTTTTTGACTGCGGCTTTGAGCGAGTTCACTGTGTAGCTTGATGAGGGAGTAATGGTCTGTAGTGTGCAACAGTCTCTGTGCTGTGTCACAGTCTCATTCAGGTCTTGGTCGTATTGCGGAGTTTAAAGTTGAAGTTTGAGCATGGCTTTTGAGGTGTGAGGTGTTAGGTTTGTTGTGTAAGTGATGTGGAGACTTCGCTTGTGGGAGAAGTGATTGCTTGAACAGCTAAAGCTTTTGCTCTTCGGGACTCAAAGCCTTCAATCCGTGCCATCAACCTGAGCATACGTCGTGCTCTCTTGGATGCCCAGCTTAGAACCACGGCATGCTTGCATCCACTTCAGTTTGCTTGCCAGAAAGGCTTTTTCACTGTGCAGTCTAGCGTCTAAGGCTAAGGCGTGTTGTTTGTGCGTCATGCCGGGCCTGCTGGCATTCTCGGGCCATTTTAATCCGGTTTTCCAACTTAGACAAGCCTCCTTGGCTAAACTTTGTGAGAGTGCTGTGTCCACTGCAGTGCGAAAGACGATGTTTGTGCTGAGATCGTGGACTGTGCAACGTTTGAAGATTTTGAAATGTACGAAGTATAACACGTAGCGGCAGTGCCAGTTCCAGGAGAGTAGGTAGTGCTAGCCGTTACTATAGTCGTCGTGATCGTTGTCGTTGCGCGGTCGTGTTGTGGCAGTCATGGTAGTCGTAGTCGTTCTAAGAGCTGTTCTAAGGTTGTACCAGAAGTTGTAGTCGGTGTAGTTGTGATTGGAATTGCAGGTGTAGTTGTCGTGGTAGCAGTGGCGGCAGAAGTGGTAGCCGTCCCAGTACGTGTAGCGGTTTTGTTTCTGTATAGTTAGCAAAGCAGTGGTGCTAGTGACCAGTGGCATGGACCGCATTTCCTGTGAATGGTACCGTATGGCATGACAGCAACTCTAACTCGTCTATACCCGTGCCGGAGCAGTGGCAACAGTAGCAGCCACAATAGGAGTAGACAGTAGTGGTGCAGTAATTTATGGACGAATAAAAGAAGCATATTTGTGGAGATCAATATTATAGAAAATAGGAAATTTTACGTGAAGATTAGATCATTTACATTTAAGCCGGGGTATATATATTTATATATTTAGACTCAGATGTTGGATATATATACATATATATATATATATATATTTTTTTTTTAATAGGAATGTATGGAGATTTGAGATAGTATGTAATACACTTTATGGTCGTGATACCAGCAATCGATGACCCGATGACCCAGATGTCCAGCAGTTTGCCACCGACCACCGGCCATCATCTTAGCAACGATACTCGCCACCGATGATTTCCCAACAATTATTCTCCTCCTACTCCTATCCTCCTCCTATTACCTCCTACTCCTAATCCTACTCCCACTTCCACTACTCCCACTCCCACTCCCACTCCCACTCCCACCACCACCACCACCACCGCCACCACCACCACCACTACTACTACTACCAGACCGCTACCGCCACCACTACCACTACCACTACGGCTACCACGACTCCTACTCCTACTCCTACACCTACTCCTACTACTACTACTACCACTACTACTACTACTACTACTACTACTACTACTATTACTACTACTACTACTACTACTACCCGCTACCAGACCGCTCCCCCCACCACTACCACTACCACTACCACTACCGCTACCACGACTCCTACTACTCCTACTCCTACTCCTACTCCTACTCCTACTCCTACTACTACTACTACTACTACTACTGCTACTTTTTATTATTCCTCCTCCTACTACTACTACTACTGCTACTGCTACTACTACTACAGTTGCTACTACTACCACCACTACTGCACTGCGTGTGCTGCTACATTACTACCATTACTACCACTACCACTACCACTACCACTACCACCACTACGACGACAACGACGACGACGACGAGTACTACTTACTACTACTACTACTACCACTACTACTACTACTACTACTACTACTACTACTGCTACTGCTACTGCTGCTGCTACTACAACTACTACTCCTGTTATAACAACAACTATTACTGCTGCTATTAGTACTACTACTACTAGTGCTGATGCTGTGAGCTCTGCCCGTTCGAATGACTACTGCATGGGTTGGTCTGGGTAATGGCATCTTCGGTGTCACTCTGTCTGTGTAAACTTGGGCAACAAAGTGCTCTTGCATGACAAGCTACAGGTTCCTTCCTTGCCAGTTTTGGTAACAGAAATGGGCAGGACACCATTTGCCAATGGTTTGAAACACTTTTGAATCCCTTCCATATATTGTTCGGGACCAAAAGAACACAGAAAACAAACGCAAAAAAAATGCAAAAAAATGCAAAAAAAACGCAACCACAAGAACCGAACGCAAAAAACATGCGAAAAAAAACGCAAACACCAAACGCAACAAAAATGCAAAATAAATGCAAAAATATTATTTCCACAGATTCCAAGCTGTGGCTGGTAAAGGATCTCATAACGATTATGACGCTGAAGCATGAAGGCTCAAGTGTGCAGTTCTTCAGAACTTTCCATTGTTTCGTGGAGCGGTGTGCATCTTCTTCTAGCGCTGGGTCTTCTGGTTTAGTTCTCGGTGGAGTGTGCTCCTGAGTGCCTCATGCCATGGCGCATGTGAACGACGGTCGGTACGCCAGTACGCCAAGAGAACGAGCCAAAAGAGATCTCGTAGACAGATTGGTGAGTCTGGAGAAGAGGCAACGTGAGGATGAGACGACCGGGCTGGATGCGGCAGATATCGCTGACTTGGGTCGAGGAGTTCTCCGGGGACAATATCTGCGGGCGTGGCAAAAAGTGATTGCGGCTCAGCCCAGATGGGTGTGGGAAAACGAAGACGAAACACCGGAGGATGAGAAGTCCGATGCAAGTGACCTGGAGGACATGGAAATTGGGGACGTTGTCCTGCGTGCAGCGAAAGCTGCTTTGGTTCGGTTGTGGCGACATGAGGTTGCAGAGAATCACCCAGAGCTCACTCAACGACAGCTGGGAGGAAGACAGGGCGCCTACCTGCGCGGTTTGGCAAACTTCTCCTGGCGCGATACGTTGGACGAAGCTCGGCGTCGTTTGGGCCTAGTCGCATGGAAGCGTTGGGTGGAACAGGTTCGGGTTATGCAAGGGCCGCGCGATCCATAAATGAGTATGGTTGTTCTGGCTCGCTAGCCGGGCAACGGACTTAGTCTTGCGAAAGTTAGGTGCTGCGGAACTGCATGGACGCTGTCTTGCGAAAGTGCGGGGCTGCGGTCACCTCGTGGCCGAGGTGTTGATTCCTCGCAGGGCTGGCTGCGCTTGCTGCGGCAATGATAAAATGCATTTGTTTTTTGCACATGAGCGAAAAACATGTCGCTGTGTTCCAATGTAGTTTCAAGCATTGGGTCGGTGGATTGAGGTACGTGGCAGAAAGCAGCATTCACGTCCTGTGTCGTCGCAAGGGCCTTATCAGCGAGATCGATGCTAGTGTGTGTGGAAGGGGCAGAGGGGGCAGGGGGTGAAAGTTACTGTGCAAGTGTTATGACTCGAGTGCAAACGAGTGTGAGTCGCCATGGACCCGTGCATGTCGAGCTCGTGGTCATGGTATGAAAGTCGTCGTGAGGGCTACGCATCGTTCTCCGACCGATCATGGTTCGCTGAGAAGGGCAAGGACGCAACAGACACATGGTGCCATTCGGAGAAACGCAAGGACGTGAAACCTTCCTGGTGCGCTTCGGAAGAGTCTAAGGGAAAGGCCTCTACCGTGTCGACTTCGCAAGAAAACGATGGCTGGCAGAAGTGGACATGGCAAGATTCGTCGTATTTTGCCGATGGAAACAATGGCTGGGAGGACTCGACATGGCAAGATTCGTCTTGGTGGTCATGGAATGATCCAAAGGAGGCACCCGCCCGACTGAAATCATCCGCTGCCGCACACCGGGATACGACTGCCTCCAAGGAGCCGGAGGTTGTGGAGATCAGCAGCGATGATTCCTCAGAAAATTGGGGACAATGGGGACAAAAATGGAGTGGCCCATCAGGTGCGTCCTGGCCTTCAAGGGATTCCTGGTCGCAATGGGCTTCCAAGTCTCGAAAGGCACCAGTGGAAGCCCGAGAAGCAGAACCCAAGAGATACAAGTATGATCCGACCACCTCCAGGGGCAGGAGCAACCACGACGATTACGATTACGTGGACTGACGATTGAGTGCGGCTCCAGCCGCCGAATGGACGCTGTCTTGCGAAAGTTCGGTGACGCGCGGCCGGCCGTCGAATGAACGCTGTCTTGCGAAAGTTCGGCGTCGCAGAGCTGCGGTTTTCTTTTCACTCATGCGAAAGTTCGGCGACACACAGGCATTGTGGTGAAAATGCATTCGTTTCTGCACATGAGTGAAGCAGTAGCTTGGACCAGGAATGCAGTACGTTGTCTCAGGTTCTTCCTTACTCTCCATTGCGGTGCGACGTGGCTTGATTGAGATTCGCATGAGTTGTATGCAAGTCGCCGGCGCGAGATACTAAAAGTGTGCATGACTGTCGCAGGGCAAGTACCTTGCTGCCAGGCGCGGGAACTGAGACCAGCGGTGTCGACCACCAGCTCGACCGTGGAGGCCTGGCCCGTGGCATGTCGCAGTTACAGACATAGAGACAGAGAGAGAGAGAGAGAGAGAGAGAGAGAGAGAGAGAGAGAGAGAGAGAGAGAGAGAGAGAGAGGATGGGATTATAAGAGGCGAACAGAGGTGTAGTGTCTGGGCAGAGTCTCCAGCATTCTCCTGGGGCTTCACCA